AAATGTTTATATTCCTACCATGGTCATGGAATCTGCTTTACTGTTTTCATATATTCTGGGATGGAAAAGGACAACTGTTTCCATTAGAAGAAAAAGTTTACAGTTGATAAGGACATCAAACATTTATTTTTGACCAACCTGGTCATTTATATGATGTAGGGAGGCCTCGTGACATATATAATTGTATAATTAACTCTCACATCTCCTTTGATAAAAGGTCCATCTCCTTTGATGAGTGATGGTGTTTGCAGGTTCCTCATAAAGTAGTAGGGGGAAAGAATGCTCACCCACTGAGAGTTCACTCCATGATGGACTCAGTTGAACGAAAAAGAATAAAAACCAGAAGTCACCAAATTATCTCGTGTTTTTTTTTAATTTTTTTTCCTTCTTGTCAAGATCACTTCAAAGGGACCGCTGTGCTCAGAGAGCAGCTTCACATGGTGACCTTTACTACCAAGAAAAGCAGTGTTGTGAATGTGTACACACAGTTTGCTTGCAATCTTTGTGAAAACAGGTGCAGCCTGGGTTAACCAGGAGGAGCGACACTGCTTCAGCCCCACGGTGGATTCAGAGGTGGTGTTGTCAGACCCTTTTCTTCTTTTGATCTTTTTCCTTTCTTCTTCCTCTTCCTTCTTTTCTCCCTCCTCCTGTTGGTCTTCTTCGAGACCGGCAGGACTGGAACTTTCTATAAATAAAGATTACTTTCAATTCCTGATCCTCCTTCCTTCACCTCCCAGGTACTGAGATTACAGGTGTGCAGCATCACGTGTGACATTATACCTAACTCGTCTAATGTTGTTCAGGCTGCCTAGTTTATAAAAAAAAAAAAATACTGTTTCTTGTCTGTTAGTTTTGATCGATAATCATGTGATGACATTGTTATTTCTGTATCCAGAGTTAATTTCTAATTTCTTGACAATCTATGTGTGCTACCCTGTTGACATCTCATGGGCAGGGCTGGGGCACAGTGTTTAATAAAGCACAGGCATTATTAAAATGTTATTATTTTTATTTAAATTTATTTAAAATTATTAAAAAGGTGTTAGCTCTCTAGTCCTGTAGTGAATTGCTGTCTTTGATTTGTATGTAAACTGAGTCCCAGCACTGGGTTTGCGTCTTGGCAGTCTCTCCAGACCACCCAGTTTCCGTCCCCAAACCTGTCTCCTTCCCTGAGGACCTGTGCAGAGCTCCGGGGACCACAGGGTCCTGTGCACAGAGCCTGCACAGAAATGCACATTTCTTCAGCCCGCACTCTGTTGTTTTACTCACTGATGGCGCCTAGATGTTCTCAACGGTTATTTAGCCCGGGTCGGTAAGGTTCTTTGATTATACATTCTACGGTTTAACTGGAGACTCTTGAACAACTGCCCTGAAGCATCGCAAAGCAGTATTCTCACTCTAGGGGGCGCCCTCCAGGATTCTCCCCTTCCTTCTAACAGAGTCTCAAGTAGTCCAGGCTGGCCTTGAACTTGCTCCTGCAACCAAAAACAGATTCAAACTTCTGATCCTCCTGCCTCTACTCCATGGGATTACAGGCACATGCCTGGAGCTTTATGTGGTGCTAGGGACCAAACCTATGGATATCAGGCAAGTACTCTACCAACTATGCTGCCCCACCAGGTCTCTATTCTGCTTCTTTTAAAGGCTGGTTGCAATCCACTAGATGATTTTCATATCCACTAAATGGGCAGCGATCAATGATTTGAAAAATGAGTTTAATTTCCACAGGTTGTGCGTAGGGCCTGTGCTGGATAGTTTCTTTGTTGTTTGGGGGTTTTGCTTTGTCAACTTGACACAGGCTAGGGTCATCTAAGAAGAAACTGTAATTAACGAAATGCCTCCCTCTGCTTGGCCTTGAAGCAACTGATGTGGGAGGGCCTAACTCTCCCTGTTGCCTTGCCACTGCTAAGGACCTGGGTTGTAAAAGAAAGCAAGCCGAGCAAGCCATGGGGAGCAAGCCAAGTGTTCCTCCATGGCATCTGCTTTAGTTCCTGCCCTAGCTTCACTTCACAATGACTGTAAGCTGGAAGATAAAATAAACCCTTTTCTCCCCAAGTTGCTTTTGGCCACGGTGTTTATCACAGCAGTAGAGACCCTGATTGAGCCTGGATGCTGCGTCTGTCCCTGCCCGAGTGTTGAAAAAGACTGTTGAAAAAGACGGACAAGGAACCTAGCGAAAGACTGTTGCACTGTGGGAGTGGCAGGGTGGGGAGCACAGGTTCTAAAAGGAGAAGCAGAGGGGACGTGGAGATGGCAAGATGAGGAAGAAAGGAAGGAAGAGATGGTACCCAGCCCAGAGCTGGAGGGGGTCCACTGCCCAGATGAGAGAGGGGGGGGAGGTTGGCAGAAGGCCAAGCGTATCAAGGTGAGGCAGGGTAATGGTGGGAGCTCACACTTAGCTCCATAGAGTGAGCACAGCTGCTGCAGGATTGGTCCTGAAGAACGGTGGTGGCAGCTGTGGTCCAAGGGTGGGACAAACATGAACACATTGAGAGCAGGGCAAGGGACATGTGTTGAGACACCAAAGACAAAATGCGGTGGGCTTCGAGCTCTTGCCAGGCAGAGGCAGAAAGTCGAGTTGTCTGGGGCTGTGGCTGGGCCTACTCTTCTAATGCTGAGGAAGGCACCAGGGTAGAACCTCGGGTTTTACTATTTTCCTCCAAGGTCACTCGAGGCCATTTGGTCACAAAAGCTAACCCCTTGAGGTCTTCTCATTCAAAAGCAAGGGCTTCGGTCTGAGGCTCTCACAAACCCCCACTGTTCACAGGTTAGCACTGTTGTCAGGGGCTTGCTGAGCAAGATGGGGGCTGCAGGGCTTAGCGGGTGTCACTGTTCTGCTGTCTATGGACCCTGCACCCAATTCTTAGCTCAGTAGAAAGCCCTGCACCACTAGGCCATGTTGGCTTTTCCGGAACTACATGATAAACGAGTTTCTGATGAATGGTGTCCCCCTTCAGACACCAAGGAGTCCTTGGCATGAGATTACAAAATGTTTTGGCTTTGGATACTTAAAAACAAAACAAAACAAAAAACTTTAAAATATTAAGTATGTGTGTGCTGGCTAGTCACGTGTCAACTTGACACAAGCTAGAGCCTCTGAAAGGAGGAGCCTCAGCTGAGGAAATGCCTCCATGAGATCCTGCTGTAGGGCATTTTCTTAATTAGTGGTGGATAGGGGAGGGCTCACCTTGTGGGAGGTGCCGTCCCTGGGTTGGTGGTCCTGGGTTCTATAAGAAAGCAGGTTGAGCAAGTCAGTAAGCAGCATGCCTCCATGGTCTCCACATCAGCTCCTGCCTCCAGGTTGTTGTCCTGTGTAGTTCCTGTCCTGACTTCCTTCAGAGATGGACTACAATATGGAAGTACAAGCCAAATGAACCCTTTGTTATTCTGCTGACCTTCCTGTCACCTGGGTACTTTGTCCCATTAAGAGACAAGCTCCGCCCACCCCCATCTCCCTGCCACCTTCCTTGCCACCTAGGCAAGCTGATCTCATGCTTTCTCTCCCCTCTCTCTGTCTGTCCTTCTGAAGAGGCAGTCTCTGCTTCTCCCCCTCTCTCTTTCCTCTTTCTCTGTTCCCCTGTCTGTCTCCGGTCACCCGCACCATAAAGGATAACACCCTTCCTCCCCAACTTGCTTTTTGGCCATGGTGTTTTATCTCAGCAGTAGAAACCCTAAGACAATGTTTAACATTGTCTATTTTTAGAAAGAATGAGATCTTTCTTTCTTTCTTTCTTTGGCAAGGTTTTACTATATACGTCAGGCTGGGCTTGGGACTTCCCTTCGGTCTCAGCTTCCTGAATACTGGGATTACAGGTGTGTGCCACCCCCCCCCAAAAAAAAAGATTCGTTTGCCTTAACATCAAGGCCCAAAACCATGACAAAGAACTTATTTGTTTGGGAACTTACTGTTTTTCAACTATGAGAAATTATTTGAAATAGAAAATTAGGCATTGTTTTGTTGTTTTGTTTTGTTTTCTTCTCACCCTGTCTCATGCCTTGTCCTTGAGGTCAGATGGTAAGATTGTGTATGAACATTTACAGCCGTTTCCTTTTCCTTTCTTCTCCCACATCTGTTTGCACTCAGCCCATGGGGAACACATAGGCCTCGGCCTTCGGACACTATCTAGCATTTGGGATCTTGCCTCAATTGAAAGGGAGGTTGAGTACAAGGATCCATGATGCAGTGGCCATCTGAGAGCTGAGAGCTGAGCTTCTGATGTCTCCACTGTCTGCAGCCACTGAGAGCTGGGAGCTGAGTCTCTGATGTCTCCATTGTGTGACCTCCGATGCGCACCTTTCATCTCTCTGGGCCTCTGTTTACAAAGTGGGAGAACTGGGCCACAGTAGGTGTCCCCAGACAGTTGACCTGAGTGTGGCTTGGCCCAGCATGGCTGACCACATAGTTTCCAAAGTTTCTATAGCGATAGCAGAGATGGGCAGGTGGAGGATGGGGAGACATTCTCTCGTCCCCACCTCCCCTCCACACCCACCTCTTCCTGTTCCCTGCTGTGGAGCTTTGGGTCAGATCTCAGGAAGTGTCCCAGTCCCCTGTTACACGCTGCAGCAGCAGCAGACATGAGTTCAGTGCCCTCTACATTACTCTTTTTGCCTTCGGGTAACAAAATGCTTCACATCCTTACATATTTTTAAAAAAGACTTACTTGTTATTTTTAACTACGTGTACGTATGTATATGCATAGCCGTGTGCGTATGTGCATACGAGCGCAGGGATCATCAGAAGCTAGAGCGGACTCCCCGGAACTGGAGTTACGGTTTAAACTAGCTGCCAGATAAAGACTGACTGCTGGGGACCAAACTTGGGTCCTCCGGAAGAGCGCTGCATGCTCTCAACTATGGAGCCGTCCCACCAGCCCTAGTTACTACATTTTAGGGCCAGGAGGTATTGTCCCTGATCAATGCTTTTGTTGACGCTTTTGTTTTGATGCTCCCATAGCTCAGGGCGACTCCAGCTCTAGCCACGGATGCAGGACCTTTCACTGCCCCCTCCCCCGACCACTCCCCCTCCCCGCGCCACTGCCCCTCCCCTTCCCTGTGCACCTCCACCCCTCCAGTTTACTGCTCCACTACTTAGCTCTCAACTACCCCTTTCAAGTTAGTGGCACCTTCCTTCAGCCCCCAGACACATTTCTTGTGACTTTGAAGTAAGTACAGTCCACCCTGTAAACCTGCCACTTCCCTGGTTAAGAGGTTTTGGGCCTCATCAGCCCGTGGAGAGTCCCATTAAGAACTGAATTCCCATTCAGGTTCCGGCACCTGCCTGACTGCTCCAGTGTGGTCAAGCTGACATGGGTTTCACAGAAATGAGAACTGGTGGAATGTTCCAGAAGCACCGGCTGGCTGGGAAGCCCCTACACAGATGCAAAGCAGTCAGATGGACCTCACACAGCTCAGGCAGGCAGCAAGCAGCGCTTCTGGAGTGTTCACAGAGCAAGGAAGTGAGGAAGCCTAGACACTGGCCGGACTGCTAATAACCCAACTCGTGGGAAGTCCAAACTTGTGACTGAAGGCGCGCGTGCCAAGGAAGGGCCCTGCTTCCTGAAACACACCATAGCAATCCACTTCCTGAAAACACAAAGAGAGGTACTAGCCGGGAGGCTTGCCAACGGACGTCCTCTGGGTAAAGGACGGTGTTGAGGGGTTAAATAAAAAGCAAGTGCTTCTGAGTGTCGCCAAGAAAATGTTCTGGTAGCAAAAGATACGGGAGCATTTTGGTAACAAAGCCAAGCAAATCCCTGTGGAGGACATGACACTGTAAAGAGCCTTGGAGAGCTGAGTGTGTTGACCGATGCTGCGATCCCAGCTCTTGGGAGGTTGAGGCAGGAGAATTGCCAAGAGTTTAAAGCCTACCAGGACTATAGAAGGAGACCTTGTCTCAAATCCCACCCTCAAAGATGGGTAGGATTCAACAGAAAGAGCTGGAGTTGGGAGGAGCATGCTAGCAGGAGAAACAACTTGATCAAGGGCCAGCAAAACAACAACTCTAGAGGTGCTGGGAGAGCCAGAATTAACCGGTTTTCCCAGAGCAGGAGAAATGTACACACGGGAGAATAAGAATAGGAAGGCCAGCATGTACAGGCCCCAGGTACAACACTGTCACTGGCTTTGACAGTGTACGCCTGTAATACCAGCAGAGGCTGTGGCAGGATTGTGAGTTCAAGACCAGCCTGAGACAAGGAGAAGACCCTGTCTTAAACTTTGCAAAGTGAGGAAGGGTGAACTTCCAGATAACCAGAGGAGCTCACTACTGAAGGTGAGGGGTGGAGCCCATCTTCAGATGGTGAGGGTGGGAAGAAAATCCCGGAGGACCCTGGGGAACCTGAGTGGAATCCTGAAGTGAGTTAACTTCCAAGCAAGGCCGATGGAAGAGAGAAGAGAAAGGACACAGACCACAGTAGGAAGAAGTGGAAGTGGGGATTTCCTGGATGCAGGCGTGAACAGACAGGGTCCCAGACGCTGCATGGGGCAGTTCTGAGAATGAGGGACATTGGGAGCATGGGGGCAGGAGGCTGAAGAGATTTGACTGTGCTGTTGTATTGGTTGCTTCTCTCAGAAATGTGACAAAATATCTGATAAAAAGCAACTAAGAAAGGCAATGTTTATTTTGGCTCTCCATCTGGGTGCATAGTCCATCGTGGCCGGGAGGGTGTGTTAGCAGGAGCCTCGACAGGAAGCAGAGAGATAAATGCCGGGGCTTGCTTGATTCTTAGTCAATCTGGGAGCCCAGCCCATCCACGGAAGAGAGCTGCCCACATACCTAGTGGGTCTTCCTGCTTCAGTTAAACATCTCTGGGAAACTCTCTGACCCGCCCAGAGCTTTGTCTCTTGGGTAATTCTTAACCGCATCAGATGGATGGTTAAGAGAAGCCATTCCAGGTATTTTATGTGTGAACACAAACAGATCCGTCAGAACCGTAACCCAAGGGCTCTTTGGAAAGGTTAGGACATCTCACCAATGGCTGGAAGCTCTTGACAACAGTCAGCAGAAACAGACTCGAGAGACACACTCATGCTCAGGATTCTGAAAGCATAGTCAGGCAGGCAATAAGTGAGATTAAGAGAAAACATGGGGAACAGGGAGAGCAGAGGCCAGACCCTGGAAAGGGCTCCATTCAGCAGGCAGGAGGAGAGGAGGCAGCGGTTGCTGGAGGCTTAAGAAGCGCGTGAGAGGGGCTGGAGAGTCGCCTCGGTGGTTAAGAGCTTGTGCTGCTCTTCCACAGGACCCGAGCTGGGTTTCCAGCACTCACACGACAGCCTGTAACTCCAGTTTCAGGAGATTTGACACACAAGGCATGCAATGATACACATACACACATGCAGGCAGTCCTACATACTTAAAATTTTGTAAATGGTTAATAAATTTTAAAAATAAAAAACCAAAGAGTTCTGGTAGGACAAGGAAGCCAGTTGCTTCAAGAGGCTTCATAGAAGAAGGACGGGAGAGGCCCACACCACAGTTGCCTGCTGAAGCCACGGATAGTGCTGCTCGTCTGGGCTCCCTTGGTGCCCTATAGAGAATGGTTTGGTGAGGTAGCAGGCCCAGTGGGAACTGAGGAATGGAAATGCCTGTCTTCCGTGCCTGCTTTGCCAGTTCTGTGGCTGGAGAGTGTATCATTGTGGCCCTCACATTTGCCTTCTTATGTGGTATTCAGGAACCCTACCAGGTAGGTCCCTTGAGACTGACCTGGTTGCTTTGTGACTTTGAACTACATATGTCACCTCTGCCTGTCCCAAAGTCATCTTATTTGGCTCTCCAGTCCTGTTCTCTTCCTGGATTCAGCCTTTTAGCGCCTCTGTTGCGCTCTTGTACCTTGACTCCCTCCCTTCTGACTTCAACAACTCAGCTCCACTCTGGAACAGAGACCTATGGTTTAATGACTGTTTATCTGCTCCCTCAGACTGTCCCAGTCCCGCTGCAGTTGGGTGGGGCCACATAGCCTACTCAGTTAATGGACTTTGAGAAAAAGCACACCACTGTCGGGCTGCAGCATCGAACGCCAAGAGCACACACCTCTCTAGCTTCCACCTTTTCCAGGGAGCAGGAAGCTGCTGGTTAAGCTGGACCTACAAGATGAGAGCAGCTTCAATCGTGGAGCCTGAAGGGGCCTGAAGAGCCAGCCGCTTGACCGATGTAAAAATACTCGGAAAAGAGAAATCAATGTTGTGCAGACCACAGATACTTGGTGGGTCATTTGTTACTGCAGCAGAGGG